TGCCTGCCTGCCTGCCTGCCTGCCTGCCTGCCTGCCTGCCTGCCTGCCTGCCTGCCTGCCTGCCTGCCTGCCTGAAATGTAGTTATAAAATCCTTCATTCTTTCATTTTTCTATCAGATGATCCTTGTGCATCTTTACCCTGTTTGAATGGTGGAACATGCCAACCCAACTTCTACGGGCCTATCTTATTCACCTGTTTATGTTTACCCAAATACAGCGGAAAAGTTTGTCAGTATTATTCTACAGGTAAAGTAACTGCTTACGAATCTACCTCATAATCTGTCCACCAGATATGTAAAGTGAATGCTGTAAAAAATTAATATCAAGGCTCGCTTGAAATGATCCACTGGTTGCAATTGTTTGATTGGGGGAATGTTACGTAATAGCCGCCCTGAGAGTTGACGATATCAAAGTGTTACTGATAAGCTTCTCTTAATAGATCAACCAATATTATATCTCAAAAGATTTTGAGTCATGTGGTTGTACACCAAGAATTGCACCAATACCCACCAACTCAAGGACAAACCCACCAACCCACCAACCCACCAACCCACCATGCCATCTCACAAACAAACCGAACCTCTAAACTACCAAACCCTCAAATCACCCTCCAACCCTCCAACCCTCACCAACCTACTATCCCACTATCCCTAATCAGAATATTTAACTTTCATGTGTTTTTAGGTCCTTTTGACAATGTCACGTGTACAAGCCCTAACGTCACATTACCGACCGTCAGTCATTCCCTAAAAGAAGCAACTATAGTCTATAGCTCAAATACCTTGATAATACCAGCTAAGGTTATAACATTCTGCATGGAAAATTACCAGAAAATCTCTGTTTGGAAAGTCACGCCAATCGTCTCATCTCTGGTAGTTTTTCAAAGTAATAATAGTGAAAATTTGACCATTCCAATGAGAACTCTCGGTTATGGCCGATATATGGTAAATCTCACTGTGAAAATGAAAAATTATGAAGTATTTAATCGCGTTGCGGGATATATCCACGTCAAACCGGACCCCTTAGTAGCTAACATCAAAGGCGGTCCTAGGAGAGTAAAACCAGCAAATGGAAAAAACATTGTACTTGATGCATCCATGTCTCACGACTTGGGAACAGGAAACTCAAGAGGGCTTACGTTTACCTGGCTGTGTAGAACGGCATACGAATCTTTTCCAGATAATGCTTTGGATTACCCAATTGTGGAGATTCCAATTTTCTTTCCTGGGAACATTAGTACTTTGCCCTACAAGCGAGGCGGATGCTATGGAACTGGACCAGGAAAACTTCCTGGAAATGGGCCGTTAATGGAATTTGAAAGTTATTACGTTGTCGTCAACACCACTTATGTTTTCACGGTCATCGTTAGCAATAGGAACAGAAGAGCATTGTTTGTCCAGGAAATCCAGATAGTTCCAGGCACGGCACTTAATGTCAGTATAAGGTAAGTGCTATCGATACCTTGAAACAACCTCTGCATGGGCATTTAACTTACAGATTGAACCCCGAAGCAATCTCTGGGCTGATCTAATTCAGGGCATGGCTAACTCACACATTGAACCCTAAAACAACCTCTGGGCTGATCACAGATCAAATCCTGAAACAACCTCTGGGCTAATATAAGTCAGGGCATGGCTAACTCACACATTGAACCCTGAAACAACATCTGGGCTGATATGGCTGATCACAGATCAAATCATGAAACAACATCTGGGCTGATCAAAGTCAGGACGAGTAAGTTTTCAAGTGACATTACATAGCGTTTTGCTATTAAAACAGTAAGTGATTATTACAATTTGTAGAATGTTTATCTAAAGACTTCTTTAGTTCGTGTCATTCTATTGAGAATATAGACCTTATTCGTGGATATCCAATATTTTCTCATTACAGACCACGTTTAAGACTTTAGGGTGCTTTAGCTATATTCACATTCCTGTATCTTGCGCATGCGCAACCGTTAAACAAAGAAATGAAACTCAAGGGAATGACAAGTGGTCTAACATGGGAAAACATTAGCCCCTGTTTTTTTTCTGTTGTTTTTTTAAATTTCATCTTTATTATTCATTTTTTATAGATGTCTTCAAAACTGTAAAACTACACCGAACCCAAACAGCAAAATGGCATTCCAATCTATTTGCAACGAAGGTTCTTCGTGTGGTAATATACATAGCTATAAGTGGTCGGCATTCTACAGAATCAATTCTTCTTGGCAAGAAATCATGGACCTTCAAAACCGTAGCGAAACTCCACTGTCTTCCAATATCTTGATACTCAAAGCATTTAGCTTACTCACGGGAAAAACGTTACGAATAACTGTAACAGTGAATAGGACCAGTGGATTGCCAGGGATAACTGAATACAGATTTACAACCAACATTGGTCCAAGGCATGGAAACTGTAGCGCATCTCCTAAAAGTGGCAGAGCCCTGAAAACTGTGTTTTACTTCAAATGTTACAACTGGACAGATACGGAGCAACCAATCACCTATACCTTTAAATATATGACGTCAGACGGATTTGTACACATACTTCAAGAGGGAATTACGTCATATCTGAGTGTGGCGTTACCACCTGGCGACGATAATCATATGCTCAGGGTTGCTATTGAGATTGCTGATTCTGTTGGAACTTACTCTATCGTATACACACCCGTACATGTAAGTCATTAGGGGGAGGATGACTTTGAAGGCGCGAAACCCTAAAGTGAAGTTACTCTTCCGGTGGACGTCAACGTCGTAGATTTTTTTAAATCTTAAGTCCCCTGTCATAAACCCCTTGCAGCAAGTTGGAATGCAGCTCAATTTGGAGGGCAAAACAATAGGTTTCCGATTTTCATCAGATTGAAATTCTCTTGTTTTGTCCGCCAAATTGAGATGCATTCCGAAGGTTGGTTTTCGTATGAGTGTAGGAGTGTATTTTTCTTTTAGTGCGGTTTTCGTATGAGTGGGAGACGCCGATAACGCAAATTTGTAGCCTGATTTTGATCTTACCGAAGCCGTAACTACGAGTCGTGATTGGATGAGTTATTGGAAGACAATGGGAAGCCATTTCAATGTCACGGCATGCCATATTGTGTACATGTTATAAATCAGTGCGGTATTTTCCCTTTCATACAAAAAAAGCCATATACAATGCGGACTATGTCTGTTAAGGCCTTCTAGAATAAAATGGTGTCGGGAAGAATAGGGCTATAATAGTTGATAAACTGCGTCTTTAAATCTTATTATTTACTCCAATGTTAGTCAAACACTAACCATAAAAAAACTTGTGATCCAGCTGATGAACCTTCTGTACAAGATCAATTAATATTAATCATCAATTATTATTAATTATTCTTATTCTTAACTGCTTCTAAAGGTATCAGTAGGTGTTGGCGTCAACAAGCAAAAGTTAATTAATGACATAAGTGCATTGACGGTAGGCAACAGCAGCTCACTTCATATTCTCTTCCAAAGAGGAAAAATTCAAAAAGTCCTACAGTTATCAAGGAATGTTCTGTTGACGTTGAAAGAATATGAGCATCAGCTAGTCACGGATGACGTTATACAGGTAATATGTATATTTATAAATTAAAATTAAAATTTTTATAAATATTGAAAGTTACTTAGTAAAAACCTGTTTAATATATTTTCGTTCGCGCACTTTTCACAACCAATCAATGCGCATCTTTCACGATACGTCCAATCAGAAGTCGGGTACGACTTTTCAAGAAGTGCGAGAAGAATCATACATCCAATCAGAAGCCATGTACGACTTTTCATAACGTAAGAGAAGAACGATACGTCTAATCAGAAGCCACGTACGATTTTTTATAACGTGTGGGAAGAACAATACATCCAATCAGAAGCCACGAAAAATTTTTCATCTCTCGCGAGAAAAACAATATGTCCAATCAGAAGCCACATCCTAACTCTTTTCTCTTCCGGTTAAATATAAACCCATATATGCCCGGTAGCTTAACATTTCTTTACAAAAAAGCTATTGTTTTAAAATGTCTATTGTCTTTTAATTTTCAGATCAAGTCGGCGATCGTTAAAAAGATCGCCTCGATCAAAGCGAAGTCATTGACAGGAGTCAGGGAGACCGCATCCATTATTGCTCTAGCTATGTACAAGATAGGTGATGTGGATCATGAAGCTGAGGTAATTAGAATGACGGGTAGGGGTAGGGTCGGGGTAGGGTCGGGGGAGGATCCGGACCTGCTTGTCGTACTTGAGATTCAATTGAATATTTTATTCTAGAATTTAGTTTTGCCTTAGTTTTGAAGTAAATTTTGTGGAAGTTTATTTTCAATATGTAACCTAGAGTGGAGAATAGATAGAGTGGTCGTTAAAAGGTCCAACAGCTTTTGCTAAGTAAAGTTGGGAACCCCCCTCTAAAAAATTCCTCAATCCGCCCTTGAATCATAACCATAGGAAAGATAGATAGTGCATGGTTATGTTTAAATCTCCTATTTTCGATAGAATGCGATATAATTGTTGAGAACATAGTTTTAAAAGGTCAAAGGTTTGAAGCAGAAAATGAGTCGTGCAGTCATTGTTCTTACGTACTTGCCATTCCGAAATTGAGGAAAAAATCGTGGGACTGTTTTAAGTTGACGAAATAGACGCCATTGCATCTTGGAAATATGTCCCCTAATTAGAACAGTACCACAATGTAGTGCAGTGTCAACTCCACCCCCTCTTTTTCCCAGTCTTGGAATTGCTACTGCACATTTTTAAAAGATGCAAGATTCTTGACCACAACTTTGACCTCGAGATTTGATAAGATTTTAGAAAAAATACTCACGATTCACGATCACGAAATATCAAGTTAAATTTACCTTATCTTACTGATCAATAAAGATTTCGAAACTAAACCTTTCTGGAATGAAACAAACTTTCAGATAAAAGCTGCAAAAGCCCTTGTTTCCTTAACGTCAGTTCTGGAGCAGTTGGGGCCGGTCGAGCCGAACTATGAATCTTTGGAACGCGGAGCCCAAGGACTCGTAGCAGGAATAGGGAATGTACTGCGAGTGGTTTCTTCGAACGCGAAATTCAAAAAGCAGACACAGCCTGGTGATCCTACAAAAAGTGGTAGACTTTTGACGTCACATAAGAAAATTTTGCGAGACTTGATGAATGCTACAGAACGAATGGGAGATGTTTTGTTGTCTAAAATCGTTGTAGGAGGGAAAGGTTCCACTCTTGAAGGAGACACTATGTCGTTGCTTCTCTCTAAAAAGAAGCCAGGAGCATTAGCAGGATCAAAGTTTGATGATATGGGAGCCAGATTTACTTTTCCAAATGACGAAAAAGCCTTTGAAAAAGGCTCTACTGCTGTTGGTATTCAGGTAAAATGCTTCTGAAAATATAATCGTAAAGCTAACCAAGTGCAGAACATATATAAGTTTTATTGTCCATAAAAATGTCCTAAACCAGTCAAAAATCATAACGAACTTCGCAATGACACAACTCACCGACTATTGATTAATCTACTAGTGGTCTATTGGTGATAGACCACTAGTAGCAAAAAGTAGCGGTTTTGAAAGCCAAAACGACGCAAAAATGTAATTATTGTCACGGTTAGAGCTAAGGTTGTGGTGCAATGTTTTCCCCTTACAGGCCACGTGTCATTCCCAAGAGAAAACGTTTTTGTTTGAGTTGCATCCATATTTATATGCCTTGTCTTGAGCAACCGTTAAACCAAGGAATGTTGCTCTTACGAATGATACGTGGTCTGTAATGCGAAAACACTTGCATGAACATGAGGTCATTTTAACTACAACATGTATTATTTCTTTTAACAGATGCTCGTGACAAACTTTACGATGTTTGCCTGGGACAAAACGTCAACAAAGGTGTCTTCTTTAGTCGTACACATGAAAATCAAGGACCGCTCTGGTAATGAAATTCCTTTGAAGAACCTTTCTTCTCCTGTGGAAATCAGGCTACCTCAACGTGTCCAGTACGATACACCAAGGAACAATACTTATATTGTTGGGTTCGGAAGAACTGCTTATCACAAGGTAGACATTGAAGATGATGGAATGATGTTGGTGATCAAATTAATTCCACAAGACAACAACACCAAATTACTTTTAGCCGTAAAATCCCAGGAACGACCAAGCAATGATGAAGAATTCAAATTTTCATTTCCAATGGAATATAATACAAAAAATGGCACTTCAATTTATAGTTATTCAGATCCTCACACTATTCACATCGGCAGCCCGTACGTCTCTAAGGCGGGGAGATATTACATTGGTGTTCGTGTTGGATTGGAAATAAATAATCTTACAGTCAATCAAACCCATGGAAAAGTACAGGATTCAGTGGGCATTATTTTACATAAAGAGGTTGTGTATGAGTTAGAAATCAGAGCTTCAGGATGTTTGTTTTGGAAACAGGAAGAAGAAAGGTGGAGTGATTATGGCTGCAAGGTATGTTTGCACTACGAGAATGGGGGATATAAAGGTAAATAAATAAAGGACACTGAGGCGCAGATTTACCCTGTTAACAGAGGCACTTTTGTGGCGACAAGTGATAAGTTGATTAAGTTATATGCACATCGTTCCGGGCTCAGTCTTCGTGCACCATATTCTTCGGATGATCACGAAAGACGAAAAAGGACGTCTGCTAGCAGGAGAAGCACAAATGCACCTCCGTTAATACTCTACCCATTTCTCATTCTTTTATCATATTTTTACAGGTAAGTCAGACAGAAATGAATTCAGTAGTGTGCCAATGTAATCATCTGACATCGTTCGCTTCCCAGCTTTACGTAGCTCCTAACCCATTAGACTTTCAAAAAGTGTTTATCGAGTTCTCTCGCCTTCATGAGACGGGAAACGTTATGACCTTCGTCGTCTTGGGCCTCGTGTTCTTAATATACGTACTTGTAGTACTATGGGCTAGACGCGAAGACAGAAAAGACCAGCTGAAGGTAATTTGACTTTTTAATTGATGTTAATGATGACGAGGAATTTGATATTTTTTCATTTGTTGTTGTAGTTATTGATGGTAATGTTGTTGGAAGCGATATCCTCATTTTATAAACCCATAATGAACACTTTTAGCATCTCTGATAGAGAACATCAACAACATCGTCAGCCATAGAAACCGAGGCCGAACACTAAACTATATATTGAATTTTTAAATAACATACTTTTTGAGGAGATCAGAAAACATTGCTTCATTTCGTTGTGAGTCGATTTTTTTTTCATGCCGATCTGATAATGTTCGTTTTATCATTACAAGGTTGGTCTGAAGCCTTTCCTTGGAATTTGCACACCAGAAAGCTATAAATACCATATCTCAATTTCTACTGGAATTTGGAGAAATTCAGGAACAACTGCAAATGTCTACATCATTCTTTATGGAGATCTTGCAACGGGTCAGCCAATCCACCTTATCAATCCATCGTGTGTGCCATTCTCACGAGGAAACACTGATTACTTTCTCCTGTCGTTCCAAGAAAACTTGGGAAACATCAAGAAAATACGTATATGGCATGATAACTCTGGAGTCAACCCGTCGTGGTTTTTGAGTCATGTTACTATCCAAGCTGACGACAGCAATGACGATGTATCATTGTTTATTTTTCAGCAGTGGATTGCAGTAGAGAAAGGGGCTGGGTTCGTTGATCGTACAAAAGGTGTTGCTTCAAAAGAGGACCTCAGGAATCTTGGGACATCATTTTATGGGAAACTTTCCGAACAATTTGCTGATGAACATCTGTGGTTGTCCATATTTGCTCGAAGTCCTGATTCTCATTTTACAAGAGTACAACGAGTGATGTGTTGTTTGTCCTTGATTCTCAGCATCATGCTCTGTAACGCAATGTTTTATGAGTTTGCACCACAGCCTGAGAGAAATATTGCAAGCCTGTCACTCAAAATGGGACCAATAAGGCTAAACATGCGTCAGTTGATTGTTGCAGTTGAAAGTGCGTTGATCATTGCCCCGTTTCATTTACTGATTGCGCTGATATTTAAGAACACATCTTCTGAATTATCCACGGAGTTCATTCGTGACAAACGCTTTTCATTTACGACACAAAAAAAGGAAGACAAAAGGAAGAAGACCAAAGAACGAAAGATACTTCCAAGAATATTCGTACACATTGCTTACCTCCTGTGCCTTCTTTCAGTGCTTGCGTCGTCTTCATTCATCGTCTTTTACTCGCTGTTTTGGGGTAGTTACATCACTAATCAATGGATTATTACAATCGTAATGTCATTAACGCTTGATATCTTCATTGCAAAACCAGTAACATTGGTTGGTTTAGTATTAATAGTGTCACTATCATGCCGCTGGCGTATACATAAACTCAAAAAGCCACAAAGTCTTGAACAAGATGCCATTTTCACGTTAGAAGACATGGATTTAATCAAAAATAGTAATAGTTTTGTTGGTGCTCATGGAACGGAGTTCCAGGATCTCATGCAGCCTCCAAACCCACCAACTCGACAACAGCTACAAAAAGCGAGACGTCTGCAACTTATGAACGAAGAGCTCTATTCATGGTTATGGGATTTGGTGGTTTTACTTCCTTATATTGGCATTTTGTTTGCCGTCTCCTATGGAACTCGGGACAAGAAGCTTTATACAGCTCCCATGTCCATAAAAAATGCATTCCAACATYAAGGGGTAAGTTATAAATCTTTGTAGAAAAATTATCAATATTTATGTAGAATAATGTCAGTGACTAGCAACCAGAAAAAGTTTGTACATGTTGTACATGTCGACAGAGAGACATCGAACGCAAAACTGTTTATTGTCTAAAAATAGCTCGTTTCTATATCTACGTCATATTATTAGGTGTGACATCGCTGAATATTTAATGTCGTTTGTTATCAAAATTATTAAGATTATTATTATTATTATTATTATTATTATCATCATTATTACTATTATTGTCATTATTATCATCATTTTTATAGGTTTAAGAGAATAGGTTTCAAATAAATATTGTAAATCAAGTTAAATTAAGTTTGAATGTTGCTTCTCTAGCTTTTTCTATCTTATTATGAATATCAAGTTAATAGTTTAATAGTCTTTTTTCATAGTTCTATAGTTTATTAACGTATTTAACTTGAAGGCCATGAGTTTATTAGCAATACTATTCAGTGTTTACCCTCTACAAATAAAGTTTCTATCTATCTATTATTTACGCGGTGTATTGAATCAAAGGTTACGACAGATACTTTCTTGGACTTCTGGCAATGGTCTGAAGAAGTACTAATTCCTGGAGTTTACGAAGACGCAACGAACAAAAGCGGTCCAGTAAACTTTGGTTACGTTCTTGCAGGACTACCAAAAGTAACCCAAAAGAGGGTAATGAACTGTAAGTAAAACACTAACTGGCATTTCATTGTCTTCCACCAACATGAATCTGTGCTGATCTTGCTAGTTTTGTTTACAATATTAATTTCCTTTTTCAGATGAGTGCAGGATCGAACAGCAGTTCAAGTCCATGATAAACAACTGCACTATTCCCTACTCTCCAGGCTACGAAGAAAACAGAGATTTCCTGCCCACGTGGATTTTGCCGAAATCATCTACCAACATAACGGGCTTCAACATCAAGAAATCTTTTCAAGGCGCATGGACTTATTCTCATACTGGAATCTTCTTCTGGAGCTATGTAGGCATTTTAAGGGTCTACCCGAGTGGAGGCTACCTTGCCAGGTTTGGGAGGTCTGCGGAAGACACAAGACGATTATTCAGGGATTTACAGTTTTATCATTGGATTGATTTTAGGACGGCAGCGATATTTGTCAGCTTTACCTTGTTCAATCCTTATACCTCTCTTTTCGTTGCTGTAAAAATTGCCTTTGAGAAAAAACTTGCAGGCGCGATGGAAATAACATACATTGTGCAACCTATAGATTTCTACGACGTTGGTGCAGGATACGAGATTGTGCTTTTGGTTTTCCAACTATTTTTGCCATTTTTCGTCATATATTACATAGTTGAGCAAGTACGAAAAATGCGAAGAGGTTTGATTGCTCATTTTTCTGTGTTTTTCAACTGGGTGGAGTGTTCTCAGATTTGCTGCACGATTTGCTGGATGGCAATCCATATATACCGAATGGTACAAATTGATAACAATTCTAAAATTCTATCTGAGGACATTTTTCAAGACAACGACTTCGAAGTGGTAGTGTTGTTGAATGATATCGAGAACACGCTGCTCGCATTGATGATCTTTTTCAACACCTTAAAGCTTCTCCTTATCATCCAGTTCAGTCACGTCAAACAGTTCTTTGGAATTCTGAGATTCTCCTTCAAAGAGTTACTCTCATACGTTGTAATCCTTTGTGTAACGCTATTTGCCTTTGCAGATTCCGGGTTTCTTGTTTTTGGAGCCAATATTTATAACTTTAGTGACGTCTTCAAAGCCTTGTCACAGCTTTGCGCCATTATYGTTGGAGGAAAATTACATCTGGAAGAGCTTGAGAACGCAAATACGATATTGGGGCCAGGTTTCTTTGTCCTATTCGCACTCCTGTCGATGATATTTTTTGCAAATGCATTTATAATGATACTCATTCATTACTACCGGGGTCAAATCGAGAAGTTACGTAATATATACGGTCTGGGAAGATTTATTGTGGATCGCATAAAGGAAGTTTGCGGATTTGGAAAAACTGTTATTCCAGACGAATGGACAGATGTGGATGAAATACGCCTCCAGTGTCACCTTGCTAATGTATTGGATCTTTCTAATACCAAGATCAAGAGAGTAATACAGCAGCAGAAAAAATACCATGGCTTGGTTAGTTATAAAGAAATCAAATCCCAGAAAGTGCAAAATTACTCGCACAATAAAAGTTTAGCTTCCATTTGCCTACGAGATGAACAGTTGCCAAATTTGATATTTGGAAACAAGCTAAAGGACAAAGAAAAAAGATTTCATTTTCAAGCTCAAAAAGTCAAACCAAACATCGTGAATACTACAAACAGTGTAGAAAGTACTGTTTCATTCAAGTTTCATCACATGAGCGCCTTGTTTAATAATATTTATGCAGAAGAGGTCCTGGACRACATTGATACAGTTCTTCTTGGAATTGCAAGTCGTAAACAGAAGGACAAGCTGCGCATGCCACAATCAATCACAGAAATATTTGAGATCAAGTTGCCCCAAGAGCAATTACCAGAGTCTATCACAGAAATATTTGGGATGAAGCCAAAGGAACCCTTACCACAACCTATCACAGAAATATTTGACATGAAGTTGCCCCAGGAGCCATTGCCACAATCTGTCACAGAAATATATTTTGGATGAAGCCCCACGAACCCTTACCACAATTTACAGAAATATTTAGATGATACCCCAGTAACCATTGCCACAATCTATCACAGAAAAATTCAAATGATGCCCCAGGGTGAACCATTACCACAATAAATCACTGAATATCCAGTTGAGTTCAAGCCCCAGGTTGAACCATTAACACAATCATGTCACGAAATATCCAGTTGAGATCAAGCCCCGTGGTGAACCATTACCACAATCAAACACAGAATATCCAGTTGAGATCACCTCCAGGAACCCTACAAAAAACTAGCTCTCGCCTTTCTGTGAATCATTCGCGTGTTGAATTTCATAATCTCTCTGCATCAGTGCAACTGATGAAAACTGAGTTGAAAAAAATTCATTGATATTTTTGAGAGATCAAAACGTGTAAAATTTGAAATTATAAAAACAAAAAACAAAAAAAAACAAAAAACAAAAAAAAAAAGAAATAATAAGATTCATTTCGATTCCATGAATGACAAAAAATTACTAAACAAATCAAGCAAACAAATTGTACGAAAATGGCCAATGACAACAACAACAACAACAACTGAACAACRACACCATCAACAATAACAAAACGCATGCAACCAAACAAGTTTTTACAATAACTGACAAATTTCAAGCGCGCTGATTGGTTAATTTTTATCATCAATAAGAGGACAGACAGATAAAGCTGACGTCAACGAGCGCGCGCTCTTTCCGTTAGTTGTTTTGATCAGTAAAAATGAGAAGTTTTTATCGTTTTTGTTATTGTAAAAAACAAATAGACATCGTTTTTTTTTGTGTCTGTCCTCTTATTGACAATAAATTTCGCCATCACATTGTCAAAGTAGCATGCGGATCCACTCGGCTACGCCTCGTGGATCCACACTACTTTGACAATGTGATGACGCAATTTATTGTCAATAAGAGGACAGACACATAAAAATCTGATGTCAATATGTTAAAATGAAGATAGGCGCAAAAAAATCGGTAGTGAAATCTTTTTCTCGTTTTCTTTCAGTAGTTTCTCCATCTTCCTACACACCTAAGTAGATCTCAGCATGCATTTTAAAAGGATCCATGATCTCAGTTGTTGAAATTTGAAAAAATGATCAATAATGTTGAAAATAAATACAGCCCAGTCCAACTGGAAATTGATTGAGAAGCCCCAATTTTGTCTGTTAAAAAGCTTCGTTATTCGTTTGCAGTGCTTGTCATGTTCAGTTGAATAACGTCATTGTTTTCAGCGGTCGCGTACCATTCGACAGGCGTCCCGGACGGCCATTTTATCTCGTATTTTCGTAGTTAAGTTCGGGCGACCATGTGTCCTCGTATCGATATAGCTTCATTCTTTGATAAATCCTCGTTTATGTTGTGACTTTGTCGACTTTTTTCTAATTTTATCTAGTGAATCATGGTAGTTCGTGTATAACGTGAACCACTTGGCTATCATCTCAGTTTATTCTGCCCCCCCTCCCCTCCCCCACCTCATTCAAATTCTCATATCAGTGATACCTCGTCGATACATTTCCAATTGGGTTACCCCCAACCTGATTAATTCATAAAAAAAGTATCTCACGTAGAGACTTCGAAAAGCTTAAGAAATGAACACAGCTAGGGTTAGATCAATATTCTCTTCGTCAGGTGCAAACGGAAATTAAAACAGCGATCAAATTCTCGGTTTTTTCATTATTTTTGACGTAAGATACTAGATGCATATCTTTTATATGTAAAGTATATGAGTGTTCTCTTGCTTTATCAATTGATACTAAATAAAGAAAGTAAAAACAAAAACAAAAAAAAACATGAGAGCAACCGCAGGAAATGTTCAAAGTTTATCCTAAGCATTCACAAACACTGAATTCGCATAATTTTCAAAAAAAGGCCTCTGATTATTGGAATTCTCTTTAATACTGCAATGAAAAAAATTGAAACTGAAAGCAGCCTATCTACTATGACATATATTTTCAATTTTTAAAAAAATACTCATTATACAGAATAAAGTATCTTGAATTAAAAACCCAAAAAAAAAGGGCTTTCAGTCTTGATAATAGCTCTTAGTTTGCTTCCTTTTTTAAATTATGCACAACTAAGGAGTTTGTAAAGTTAAGCAATAGTTGGTTATGCATTTATCTTCGAATTTCACTAAAATAACCGGCTAGAGCGATTTTATCTATTCTATTTTGATCCGTGAAATAAAAATGACTATTTATTTAGTACTAGTCGATAAAATACAAAAGAAAATTGGGTTTCGAGTCTATAACTTTATGCGTACTATTTTTTCACGAGTTGCCGGAATAAAATCAAGCTTCTTTGCTTTTATTGATACCCGTCGACACCGCCACTTAAAACCCGCTGAAGTTTGCATCAGCATTTTAAAAGCCAAATAGAGGCTGCTCTGTTTGTGAACTTGCTTTCGCATAAGTTTTAATTAAATTTAAAAACTAATTCGGTATTCAAGACTTCTCGGATGTCAGTAGTGAATCTGTAAAATCTTTTTATTTTTTTCTGGCATAAGTTTCACGCGTATATATGACTTTAACTTTAACAATTAGTGGACAAACTAATCGGTAATATTTAATTAAAAGTAATAATTTTCATTTTATGTTTCAAACATCTGGTCGTCTGTTTATTTGTGGACCGCTTCCTCGATAAATTTATTTTAACTTTTTGGCACCCATTTGTCAACTATTCTAAAGTACACGAACAGGACATCTAGACAATGCAGTTTACGATAAAAATAGAAATGGTCGAGGAGAATATATTAAAAATAATTAAGGTTTTCATACACAAGGCTAGTTGCAACATCAACGAAGCTGTCACTATCGAATAGGAACACAGTTGATACCACTTTTTCCCATATAAAGTATTGGGACTTATCTACGTAACGTCACGGATCGATAAAGAACTACTTATAGATAACGGTTTTAGGTAAGTCGAGTCTGCTAAAATGAGCCTGAGTAAAATAATACCTTGCTGTGTATTTGATAAATGTACGTAGGCATTTGTTTGACATTTTCCCTTGTTTTTCTTTGACAGCCATTTTTCGATACATAAGGGAAAGAATTGCCGTACCAACGACGGCAAACAACAGCAAACCAATACTAAAGATCAGGAAACTGAACATGGCATAAGGTAAGATGTGATATTATAATTTCTTGTTGGATACGTTTTTCTTTCTCTTCTCTTCTCCTCTTTTTTGTTTTTGTTATTTATTTGTCTTTTGTTTGTCTTTTTGTTTCTTTCTTTACTTATATCTTTCTTCTTCCAATTTTTATTTCTTTCTATTTTTTGGCTACGAAACAAACGAGCGAACAAGCAACCAAATTAGTTAACCAAACAAACAAAAGGCTGACGTAAGTCGCGTTGTATTAGCCTTTCTTATATTTATTAGAACTGCTACGTTTACCAAGACTTAGGTGTTTGTCAGATGGCCATTCTTGTTGGTTTTATGGACAAATGAGTTTCGGAATATATCTATATTTTGCACTTGGATGTATTCAAACGCTAAATGGATAATATGACAAAGAAATATAAATCGAAAAAAGGGGTTGCTTAGGATTTGATCCAATTTGTTAATTTTAATTGCAAAGCAATCTGAGAAAATAAACAGCTCTGTTAAAAAAATTCATAATGTTAAATACTCTGTGTGTCGATATAGCTTGTACGAATATTTTAGTGCCACTAAAATGGTGAAAGTTCTTTTTCGTGTAAGTCTAATTACTAAATGTAAATCTCTGGTAGGAACTGATGATTATCTTGAAGCAGTCCTGATCAACAAGCTAGTACCTGCACGATAAAATTGATCGAAAATCGATATTTGATCAGGAGATCTGGCAATCACTTAGTAACGCTTCTAGAGATTCTGGTGAGGTTCGCAGATTAAAGGTGTTATGTGAAAGAAACTTTTACCTCGTTGCCTTAATTTGTATTGCCATATATGCCTCTCTTCTTAGTTTTAACAGTAAATGGAATCTGTCTTCTCTAAGAGCTACAGGAACTGGTAAGTTTCATATCTTCATGATTCTATCTAATTTAAGTTCTTTAACCAGCGTACACAAAGTGAATTTGCAACGAGGGTTTTCTCCGGGAACTCCGGTTTCCCCATTCCGTAAAAATAAACATGTGAATTGAGTATTGTATGTTGTGAATGTAGTGGTAGTGTGTTCGTAGGGAAACTCGCGACAAAGCCCCGAACGCTGAGTAGTGTTTGTAAGATATAAGTTATATATATATATACATAAGTGTCCTGTATTCAATTTTGTCCCAGCAAACGGCGTTGATGAGCAAGCCTTGAAAACAGTTTTATGTACTTCGTAGCTAAACTCAGATGGAGACCACATAACTGGTAGTTCATTCACAAACTATAAAGAAAATTGTCATTAATATTAGACAAATAGAAATATAATTCGGGGCAATTCTTATTTATCTTTGTGCAATAATCATAATCGACTATTTCGACCCTTGTTAATTTTAATTTGCTAGCTAGTTACAAAAACTCGATAAATCATTTTGTCATGTTTTTTTCGAATCAAGTTTCTCCCTATCAGTCGATATGAGTTCCATATATAACTTGTATTGGCAGAAGAACTTCGAATAGAGTAAAGTTATTATTAGCTTGCAGCCGTTAAAGACTGAGTTGTTAAAACATTTGGGGAATCACGATATTCAGTTGATGGGTTGCAAGCATTTCCAAAAAAGTCAAAAGACAAAAACTATGGCGGCCATTGTAGTGCCGTTAACAATGGATGCTAATGAGAAATCTTAACGTGCAATCGAAGAATATACGTAACACAGTTGAAAATATATCAGCTTATTTCTTATAAACCAGGCAAAATATTTAAGATAAAGTAGCAGTTTTGAAACGTTATGTTACTGTTGACACAGCACGTCCCGTTTTGTTGATATTGTTTGTCCCCTGTTGGTTCCCCGTGGCCCAATAAAATCTCCRGAGACAATATCTTGATCCAGTTGATTGAAGTATCAGTGTTAAAGTTTACACATACTGTACGTATAATATTGTGTGACCATAAAATATATATATAGTCAAGACCCTAAAGACTTGGAACAAAAAACAACACCTAGATATGTCAGAAAATACTTTATCATATTGCGGTAAATTTTAGCAAACAAAATTGCGGTAAATAATTAGCAAAAAAAAAAAAAAAAAAAAAAAAAAAAAAAAAAAAAAAAGATCAAAATGTACAGTATATATCGTATAAAGACATATTTCATTTCTAGAACTAAAANAGTGAGTGCAAAGTTGATATTTTATTAATATCATTTTCAAACCAATTTCGGAAATGTCTAGTAGACCAGACTTAATGATATATGGATAAATTTAGATGAAAGTCGCATTAATTTTTCATCAGTTCAGAAGTATAAAACACAAAGGGAAATAATTTATATGCTACGATCGATTCTTTGGAGGCGTGTTACGTCATAGTCGGGAACCCGGCCAGGGGTAAAGTCGAAAGCTTTTCTCATTTATAGTTTCTTCTCTTGTTAGATCAGCCAACATGGCGCAGCTGTTTCGTTAGCCTGCGTAGCGGCCCAAATGGGAAGGGAAGGGGATAGGCGACTGGGGAGAGGAACTCAGGAAAGGGACTGGGGATTTTGAGGGACTGTGCAATAATTATCAGGAGAGGGGGCTGAAACATGAGATATATCAAGCAAAAGATTAGGCAGTACCCCCCTAAAAACTTTTTTTTTTAGTTCTTACCCTCCCCCCCTGTTATGTTAAAAATAACGTTGAATCTCCCTTCCCCCCAATGATTACCATCCTTCAATTAGATATGTCTTTATCTGAATCTGTACCGGTTGTCATGCTATTGCAAGTCCGTGCTTACTTGTTCGATGTCCCCGTCTGCAATAAATAGTACTTCATAAGAATGTTCAACAAAACCGTCCATTTCAGAGTCATCTGATTCCACGTCAGAGCTGTTTTCAGAAGAATCAGAGTCGTATTCGGAATCACAAGACAGGAATTCTGTACTACTATCACTGGAATTAATTTTTTCATCCCTAGGTGTTTCAGCAAGAGCAAAATTAAGGACACGTGCTACTAGCGCAGCTTTATTTCCTGTTAATACGTTTAGATTGTTCTGCTTGCTGTCAGAGCTTGTTCATCTTTCCAGTTAATGTTTGGAAGGGTGTTTCGTTCAGCTTTCCTTTTTTGAGCTTTCAATTCAAGAAACTCAAGATGTTGCACAAAGCATTTGAGAGTGGTTTCATCAACCATCAATTTCTGGTATACCTACTGCATTTCATTCACGTTGGATGAGGCTAACCTACCAGGAAGCAAGCATCTGCATGATTTGCACACTTGGAAGTTGTCGGTCGACCTCGTCACTCAGACTGGCCACATTAGATGAAATGTATCCGTGTGGTTTTATATACATTTCCAATAAAAATTAAGCCCCCCCCCTCCCCCCTATGTTAGCATCAATTTCATATGATGACCCCCTCTGGTTTTTCTCATGCAATGTGATTTGTCTGGCGTATCGATCCCCTTGCTGTGTCACGACCGTGTTCGTGCCGTGAACTTTTCATAGTCATACGAAAACTGCACTATGCAGACAAATGAATTAGGATACCATTCAAACCAAGAATTTGATCTGTAGGAAGTGACATAGGCCTTTTCCGAGTTCGATAAATTGTATACATTGTGGTCTAGCTTCGGTACAAACAACACTGTACGACCGGTTTCGATCGACATTAATACCTGAACTACATTGTCAACTAAAAAGGGTTAAAAAAAACAAAAAAACATATGAAAGCGAGTTAAAAGTATAGGTCCTAGTATATGTCCTAAGGTAACAGAAAACAGAAAGGTGTTGGATATATGACATATATTCAATTATTTTAAAAACGTCAAATTCTAGTTAGGAATATCCATGCAGCTGTCGCAGTATTTGCGAAGTCAGAAGTCGAACTTCTCTGTTTTRAAATTATTCTGTTTTTAAATAATTTTTACTTGACAAACAACTATTTAGTCGTTTGCAGCCAAGTACTTCATATCTGTCATGTTTGCTTTTGAATTCGTGATTTGTTACGAGTCAACAGTCCAACTTAACGCGTGGCTAAAATTCTTAGAGCTAGCAACTATCTTACTTTAAAATATATCCAACTTCTTATATCCGTTATCATAAATTACAATTAGTTCGGTAGTTACGTCTTTTCTTTCCTTTTTATCTTCTGAGAGTAAAATTAACGCCTGTGTAACATGCAAATCCTCTGATCGATTGTTTAATGATTTCGCCGTTGTGTTAATACATCTGCCTACGTTGTCCATTCTGATTATTGATCTTAGAAAAACATGCAGGCTCAAGCATAATAATTTTACAGACAAGAATATTTTTTAAACTCTACTAGTGCACATACATAATTTATACACTTTCCTTGAACAGAGCACTTAACATTGGTCGTCACTATTCTTGGGAGAATGCACATGTGGATGACTAAACAACAATTTTATTAAGGTATCGTTATAACTTATTCTATTTTTGATCATGACTTGAGAGAACGAAAATTATCCAGCAATCTTAACTCATTCTATTTGGAATAATCAGAATATCCTTTCTAATTTTGCAAGTTCATCACGAAAACTCTGTCTCCTTACTATATTTCAATTCCAATATTTCTCAATTGTAGTGGGTCTGTAGTGTCTTAGCCTGGAAATACTTTTTTGTTGTTGTTACGAGTACGGACGTAAAAACCATTATGTTATGATAATGATTTTGTTTTGTTATACCTTCGTTGTTTTAAGTACACTAATAAGTAGTATATGCTAGTATGCTTCATGACATTGCGGCTTGTTAAATTTATCAATTATTCTGTCCCTGTAATAGTACATAACCTGATAGCACCTAGATGTTATCTTGTTGGAAGTACTCTTTGACACGTATACAATCCAGTTTCTGAAATATGCTTTTTTCTACTAAAAAAGACATATTCTCAGTTAATCAGCCTTGTCTATCCTACCATCCAATTTTATTGAACAGTAAAATAAGGCAACGTTAACCTTAACTTCATAAAAAACTAAAAACTATTATAATGAATATAAAACATCAAGCAGACATAATTGACCAATATTTTTGGATTTGCTGAATATTTTGCAGCAATGGCTACACGCCGGAATGCCTTTTCCATGTAACATCGTCATGTTATCTATAGGTTATAGGCTAYCTATATAGTAAGAAAACAACTAAACAAACAAACAAACAAACGACGAGAACAAGATTTCAATAATAGATAACTCGCCAATTTCATCTTGACGCCAGATAATTAACTCGTATTTCGTTCACGGAATGTTTTTTGTTTTTTGTTTTTTCATTTCGTTCATTTGTTCGATTGTCAATTCTTGTTTTTCAGTTATATATATATTTTTTGAATTTTGTGCATTTTTTATTTATTTTTGTTTTGATGTTTACGGTGTTATTCAAAGTTATGACTATATATTTTTCATTTTTCATTTTTATTTGTTTTAATTTTGATCATGTATCACACTTATTTGTCAAGAGAAAAATAATATTTCCAAGTCGTACCTTGGAAATTGATCCGCATTCAGAAAATTGTATACTTTGGCCGGGATCGATCAGCAAATGTTCCCAAGAGCAAATATGAAAAGATTCTACTGAATTAACGACAGGAACATTTGCATTATTTCTATTCTTTATTGGTTCTATTCAAACAAAAATCCAAATTCATTGTCATTGTCAAAACAGAGAATGACGAGAACAAAAATCTTGCCGTTTTAAAAAAAGCTAGAAAAATAGAAGAGGAAAAAAGACAACTAAATAGTTACCTTTGTCTATGTAAAACGTTCGTGAAAAATGAGTGTCTTCAAATCTACCAGAATTCAAGGAAATAAAAACTATATATATATATATATTTTTAAAATAGAAATATCATTTTCTTTTTGAGAACTCTAAAGGCTTATATTTTTTTCGAAAAGCTTTACTAAGCTATATTGACATATTTTTTAGCATTCTGAGTCACACAATGTAAACGAACACTGTTTCTGCAATATTGTTGAAAGGCGTACTTTGATGTCTAGATCTTATTCATTCAAGTTCGAATATGAGGGTCCGATAAGACCGATATTCATTTGCAACACAATGATTGTGGTAGATTTAAATGATTTGTTACAAGGACTTTGTTCATAATACTTACTTCAAGTTATAATTCCTGCATGGATTTTACTATTTGAAATTATAGATATGAACCTAGCATAAGTCGACTGTTCAACGATAAACTGTAAGATTCTTTACCTTTTAAGTTTTATTGAGTTCAATCAAAATCTTATTTCCAATCGAGCTCAAGGGAAGATTTACCGTATGAGTTTTAAAAAGGTGGAAAAAAAATCAAAGTGTTAACGGTTCGAGTGTCCTCACCTTGCACGAATACGAAATGCATTTTTTCAAACGTTTTTGAATAAAAATGCTAGTAAATGTTTCGGTCGGGTTTAGTACTTGTTTATCTTTGTTGTAAAAGGGTTTTATRAAATTCGACAATTTCCTACACTGCTATGAAAATACTAAAATTTTTAAAACGAATGCGACAGGTAAATTTTAACCTGGTGAGTTATTACTTAAGCATTTTTTTATTTTGCAGTATTGAAACTTCCTGAGAAAGCCAYCTTTTTAAATTGTATTCAGAAGCATGTAGGGAATATTTTCCTTTTGATTGCTTGTTAAAAAAACCTGACAAATGGGAAATTGTTCCGTTTATAAATGTAAGGGTTTTAAATCGATCAATTGTTTAGATGAACCATAGGAGCCCTTTTTTACAATTAGGTAAGGAAATAGATATTTAAAAAGATAGGGAAACCTTTTGAACTTGTAAAACGAAATTACACATTGGTATACTCAGTTCCACAGATTTATTATTGATTCCATCAAAATAAACCATGCAATGCCTTATGCACCATGGATGGCCGGATGGATGGGTCGGTGGGTGGGTGGGTGGATGCAGGTGGAGGGATGGATGGATGGATAAATGGTTCAAAACACGAAAAAATAATAATAATAATAATATAAAAAAAACTGTAAAAGGCAATAAATCTCTGACACATATAGTGAATAGATCTAGTGCCAGATTGTTAGTTCAGCATACGATTTTAAAATTAGTTTTGACACGATTTCACTCTAAGAGTTTATTCAACTGCAGTGAGCCAGCACTGAGTAGAATAAAGATATAGCTTCAGCGATATGGCTTATAATTCACTTTGTTTAAGATCCCTCATCGACATCTTATTCCGTATCATGTTGTGTGAGACGCACGTAAGGCAAAGGTGATTAAATTTTGTCAAGTGCCGGCTTTTCCTGATTATATTTAGAACATACGAGAAAGAGAAAAGTGCATGTGATGTGTTTGTAGTTGCCGCAACAATATAAATGAATGAATCTTTACTGAATCGTATTTAATCCTTTTAAATCTTTTCATTGACCCTAAGCCACTCGTTATCGATGCTTTGATGTTAAAAAGGAAATTATGGAGTAATACGAAAAATTACACCATATTTTTACAATAAAGCTATTTATATAACTTTTCCGTTAAAATTGACATCTCTTGAACTTTATTTTGGGAAGCGTTAAAATAACTTTTGCAATTGTGATCTGATAATTAGCTAAGACGTCGTTAAGCCTGGTCCTCAATAGCAAGCATAATCAATAAGCATAAAGGATCAAAACGTTGCTTGTGCCTATGTCGTTAGTGAGGACCAGGCCTAACTTGGCCCTCAAGGGTGAAATCGGTATTAAAACGTCCAAATGCTCAAATTTTTGCTGATGACCCTGAATTTGCAGAAATTTTACCGTACAGCTTGTCACTTCCTTTTTTTTTTGAATTTGAAACATTTTGGGACCAAAATTTTCCTTTTGTAAATTTGAAATGACAATGCGTACGGCATCGTCCCTGGAGCGCGTGCGTTCGAGGAATACCGCGTTTCAAGCCTGGATCTTAAAGTGCAAATGAACCCTTTGACAATACATTCAGTAC